CCCCTTCTTTGCACCGGGAAACAGCCCCCGTTTAGTGTGTGCAAAGCTCTTGGGCTCTGGGACCCGACTCTGCTTGTCAAAATTAAGAATCATCTGCGCGCAACAAATTTGTAAGTTAAATGAATGGCATGGTTGAACCAACCACAAATGCTGGAGGGACAACGTGTTGAAACCGAACACCCCTGCCTGGGTAGGAACTGTTGACTCAAGAGAGGATAGATCAATGAGTCTGAACGGTCAAATTATTATGCCAAGTCTAGCCACCCCCTCCCCGAGGATCCTTCTCGCCACCTTTTCCAATTTGGGGCAACTCCCACTTCTCCTCCGTACATCCCACCAAGCAAACTGAAACTTTTTGCCACACCTCTACGTGGATGAACTGGCCTTCTCAACTCGCCTTCGATATTCCCCTGCCTCGAGCACAGCGTCCACAGGAGACGTTGCACAACGTTGTCGGCGTACCCACGCCATGTGCTGAGAGGACGTCCCGATCTATCCCTCTTGCCACGGGCATGCGGAGTTACTGAGTGGACGGTTGTCGCCATGTCAACAGCGCACGAGTGTGGTTTCGGCATGTCCTGCGGAGTAAATTTTGATGTTGCACTTGGCGCGTACTTGGTCACGATCTCCAACGCTCTCGACCTCGAAATCTCGTGTAGATTGCTCCGCATGTCGCCCATGCATTGTGGCATACCGCTCACCATCGGCGTGCTCCCCAAGCCCCTATTCCTCGAAAGCACCCCAATGGTGTTCTTCAGATCTTTTGTATGCCCAGCTTGCGTCTTTGCAGCCGTTGACACTGGTGCCTTCCTTTCCGTACCAGGCGCAAAAGCGGGCAAACGCACTAGTTTCCGTGGCTTGTCTCTATCTGACACGTTGGGTTGTCTAAGCTCGACAATGGAAGCTTCTACTCCATTCTTCCAACTGTGCTCCAAGGTTCGGGGGCGTCCAGCATCGTCTCTTCTAGACGCTCAAGAGCCACGCGTCCACCTGCGGAAATGATCTCGCTCGCACCCTTGTCGTCACAAAGCCTGAAAGGGCTGCCTTCGGCAGTCACCGACTGGAACATCTTGCTGACTTGAACTATCCTGTGCTCGCTGGCCTTAATCGTGCGGTTGTATACGATCGAGCTCCCGAACGCAAGCTTAAAATCTTCTGCGCAGCGAGCGAAAAGCTGCAGGGTCAGACACAATCGCTGGAGATAGGCAATGTCGGTCCCCGTCGCTGCCTGCTTGAACTCCTTATTCATGGTCATTTCCTGGATCTCGTCTAGACCCGTGTTCTTCCCGGGTATCCCGGCGAGGGACAAGCTAAACGTCTCACGAGTGAACTCAACCTCTGCGTCATTCATCTGTGCTATGTCTGCGAGGTGTTGGATGCACAGGTCGTGGGACTTGTTCTTGTTGTACCCCAGGAACAGTGGGCCTACTCTGCGAATTGCGGCCTCGCGCAGTCGGTCAGGAGCAACTGTACCCATTGCCCGTGCGTCTTGTGTTTGCCGCGGTCGGTCGTGTAGGCGAGTAGATTATCCAGCAGGTCCTCGCCGGACAGCGCAGTATCCTGCTGAACGTTCACCTCGCTGATGCACGCTTGCCAAACCGCCTCCACCACCCCGACGAAGACGTTGTGCCGCTTGTGGTAGTTCTTCGACTCCAACTTCTTGTCGTGACAATCGCTCGCCTTTGCAAGCGGGATCATAGCAAAACCCCCCCACTTGCGGTACAACACGTCGAGTGTGTGCTCGAGGAGGTGCCAACCAATCACCGATCCACGGCACCACCCACGCAAACTTCGGAGAGTATTTGGTTTTCGCCTTGTGCAAAAGAGCGTAGGTCTCCTGATCCCCTGCAATGACCGCGCGCTGCCTCCCACCTTTAACGCCCACGTGCAAGATTTGTTTGAGCCCGTCCAGAAATTCAATGATTTCAGGCAATGTTTTTGTCCCGAGCTGCACCACGCCGAGATACTTCGCCAAAACATCTAGACCGACCCGACATCTCACCACACCCAACATGCTCTTCCTCGGGGCGTCATGGATTATCACTTTCGCCAAGCGCATCTCGAAGTCTCCGTCGGTTTTGGTATACGGCTTGCGCGCACAGCTCACGACATTAAGACGGAAACTTTCCCAGATGCCCAAAATCCGTGGGTGGTCTTGCCCGAAGTCACGACGAAAACCTAGTTTCCGGCGTTCGGAACGGAGGCTTGTCACCTTCTGGCGCGATTGCGACACAGCGAAGTAGGCTATGGCCGCTATTAAATCGACATGACCGCCCTTCCCCCAATGCCTCAACACATCCAAGTTAAGGTTGTCGAAACTGCAGGCCACTAGCCCCTCCGAAAGAGGAACCCGCTTCAACATCTCCTCCTTGGTACCGAGGCTGTCTGCCAGTTTCTTTTGCACCTTGTACACATAACTGTCGGTCTGGGCAATCTTGAAGGTTCTCGCCAGAAAATCCAACCAATCTCGTTGAATCCCCCGGCTCTTGAGGAAGATGGTCATTGCATTAGCATTCTTGTACCACGTGTCGAACGCGAAGGACGTCACTATTGCTGCTATGAGGCATTTGCGGCTGGCCACTGCATTCTCGATTTCCTCGTTGCCTTCCTCGGCCGCCTTGGATCGGGGACCGAGCTCGTTCAGGAAGGTGGCCAGCAGACGGGGGACGTCGCTCTTCCACTCCACGATTGGATCGGTCAATGACAAGGGGGCTGACCCTGCCTTCTGGGCAAAGACCAATCTGTTGCCCTCTTGGGCGTAGTCCGCGGTGGCCCTCCCTAGCAGCATCGCTGCACTATGCACGGTGTACACCTCGGCGTTGTCGTTCTCCTGCGACTGCTTAATCTCCTTCTTCAACTGGGCCACCTCATCCTCCAAACGCTGCGCCCTTGATTTAGCCGTCTCAACAGCCTCGTGCATGTTGGCAACGATCGATCCCACTTGAGCCATGCTAGTAACGTGCTAGTAGCCCCCCCCCCCCCCCCCCCCCCCCCCCCCCCCCCCCCCCCCCCCCCCCCCCCCCCCCCCCCCNCCCCCGCCCCCGGAAGGCCCAACGAGTTAGAAAAGGGGGCTTCGTTCACGGTAACAAATTGTTGCCCCCCCCCACCTAATCCAGAGGGGTTTATATCCACGGTGCCCCTTACGCTATCACATGGTAGAAAATAGAGCCCCCCCAAACTAGGGAAATACCGGTGGGTAGGGAAGGCAAGAAAGGGCTTAGACTCGAAGAAAAGGGGGGAGGGGGGAGTCGGATTCCTGGTCGAGGAACACTTGTTTGACGTGGTGGAAAGAGTGGTGAAAACGGAGTTCGAGGAAAGCCTATGGCTTAAGATACCTGGGGAGCGGGGTGAGAAAGATTTGTTTCTAGGGAACGTATACGTCCCACCGTCGTCGAAGAAAGTCGCAAGCAAGGCGCAGGAGAACTTTGGACAAATTGGGGAAGATGTCCAGAGGTTCAGTAGGAAGGGAGAAGTTGTCATGGTGGGCGATTTCAACTCCAGAGTAGGGAAAGCTTCCAGTAGAGGACAGGCGATCGGGCAGCACGGAGAAGATAAAGTGAATGACAACGGAGTGAGGGCGCTTGAATTCTTGGGAAGCAACGAACTGATGGTGTTGAACGATAGGAGGGAATGCGATAAGCCGGAG